TTTTTTCATCTTGTCACTACCGTCGGAATTGACGCATATGACATATTTTACATTTTGTCAGTACCGTCAGGAATTAGACGCATCTAGCATTTATTTTACTAGTACCATCACATAATTGATGCATCTGACATTTTTTCATCTTGTCACTACCGTCGGAATTGACGCATATGACATATTTTACATTTTGTCAGTACCGTCAGGAATTAGACGCATCTAGTATTTATTTTACTAGTACCATCACATAATTTACGCATCTGACATTTTTTCATCTTGTCACTACCGTCGGGCGATCCGCTGATTCTGCTTCCGCGTATTCCGCTCCATGGGACGTCACCCTCAGAGATGCGAGCACAGCGTGGCGCCAAAGTCTCACGATAAATAACGAACGTGTATTCCGTTGAAATAGTTCTGTGATTGGTAATACACAGGTTACGGTTACGCTCCATGTGGATCCAGTCTCACTGATGCGATCAGCTGGACACGATTATCGCCGGCTTGCTGTCATGTTGCCACCGACAATCTGACAGATGTTTGGCAATGACATCTCTCGAGAAAGCCTGCAACTCTTTCTACACGCCATGTTGTCTTTTTCTCGTTTTCTAGCATTGGATTTTCAGACTTGCGATGATTAGAACTAATCTTTTTTTCTAGGCTATTAATCTTAGTTCTAATTGCACGATATTGTTCTTATATGTTATCCCTAGACTATCCTGGTCTCATTTTGTATATATTTATTGTAGAATTTTTGTATCAAGCAAATATTGTCGTCAAGTATGGGGCTTACTTCGCTTAATTCTACTTTAGGAACGCCCAAGGAAGTGGATCGCAAGGGAGGAAATTAATTGTTCAATTCTTTTTCTGTTAATGCCTCATGGCTAAGGATATATATTTTAAGGAGTATGATACATAGGAACATAGGAGTTATATACGACGAGGAGTATAAAGATTATAGGGGCTACTTCGAGCCTGACCGCCGCGTTTTTTAGTCCGTGTAAACGCGTCCCGCTTAGTAATTAGCGGGGCCGGTATCCAGGGTTTTGGTGAGGGAACGGGATCCGTTTGCGTGCCAAAATCGCACAGGGTCGGTACCGTTTGCGTCATTAGACTGCGGAAGGATTTGGGCGGAACATTCTCCACATAGTCTGACGGCGACACGGTGACTCGCGGCGTGCGGGGCCTTTGACGTTTTGGGGTTCTATCGATGGGAACGGGCAAAGGTGTCTTAGGCACGCTAGGTTCCACGACAGGAGTTGGTGAGGGAGTCCGTGGAGTCGGCGAGGGAATCCGTGGAGTCGGAGAAGGAGAACGTGGAGCCAGCACCTTTTGAGACTCGTCGTGTGTGCGTCGTCTCTTACGGTACTGGTCCAGAGGTAAGGGCCGCGTCTTTTTTTGGATCGGTAGACAGTCGGCCTGTCCAAGCTGGGGTGTCCGCTCAGATTTCCATTGACGTGGGCGTTCGGAGTCTAGAAAGAAGGTACAAAGTTAGTTCTTTTCCATCGAAATGTGTTGCTGCGAGTCTATGCGTTTTACGCAGATCTTCACTCACGATGCAGCGATTTACGCTTCGTTGGCGAAACCATGGCGCCTTTAAGATAAAGCGGTCTAGCGCTTGTTGTGCGACTAATGCGCACGTGGTGGAGCGACTAAGCGCTTGGGGCGTCCAAGGCGCTTGAAGTAGAGCGACTTAGCGCTTTATAGAATCGAAGTAGAGCGACTCGGCGCTTATATTCCCGAAGGAGAGCGACTTAGCGCTTTATAGAATCGAGGTAGAGCGACTCAGCGCTTATATTATCGAAGTAGAGCGACTCAGCGCTTATATTCCCGAAGGAGAGCGACTCAGCGCTTATATTGCGTCTAGGGCGCAAGAGACAGCGGCTAGGCGCTTGGTACGTGGCGACTGAGCGCCGAAGTGAAGTGAAAATGCTCGCATTTTCCTCCCTTATATACTGGTAGTCACTCAATTTCACTCCCGAGCGAATCCGCCACGCAGCGGCGGCGCCGCGAACTAGCGCGGCCGCCCAGCGTGGGGCTAGCGCCAGGCGCTTATGTTGGGGGCCGGGCGCCCTGTGCTAAGCGTCAGGTACGCGCGACTGCGTGGTTGCTGGGGGGCCCGGCGCCTGTGGCTGCCGAAGGCCGCCACATCAAGTATGCCAAAAATTAGTAAAATTGGTATTTTTTGGGGGTTTTTGATATAAAGTCGACCAGCATAGTGTAGATTTTGCTGCGTACTTTAATTCCGTATAAGAATTTTGCATTTCTATAAAGCCAATTAAAAGATTATGTGGCGGTCGCAGTACGCGATCCGGCACATCTCGGCGATCCGGCACTGCGCGACACGCGCGCGCGCGCGCGCGAGCGCGCGGGCCACCGAGTAGTTCGCCGGCCGCCGCTAGGCCGCGCATAGTGGCGGGCGAAAAACATGGGAGTAAGATTCGGTCTCGTACAGTATATAAGGAGGCCCGCGCGGAAGCCGAGACAACTCATCACAGTGTGATAACCATCGGGACGATTCCCATGCTGGAAGAGTCCTCGATACAGTACACTGTCGTTCTTAACGACGGGTACAGTACGCTGTCGTTCTTAACGACGGGTACAGCATACGCTGTCGTTCTTAACGACGGGTACAGCATACGCTGTCGTTCTTAACGACGGGTACAGCATACGCTGTCGTTCTT